GGGGCCTCGGGGGAAGTGCCAGCCGCAGGGCTGCTACTAAGGCTTGGGTTGATAATTTACCTTCTGCCTGAACCAGGCTCATGGACTGGCTGCCTGCTCCTCACGGCTGTTAAAAACCTTAAATGCCATATTCACTAAATCTCGGACAAGGGTTTGAGGGCCTTTCTTCCGCTTTCTAAGCTTTTAATGTAAATCATCAGTTAAGCAGCTTAAAAAGGTGGCTGGATTCTTGTCAGGCCTTTGAGTGATGTTAGTATTATCAAAACTGAGTCTTATAAGGGAAATGGCCTGAAGCCAAGTCAGGGCACACTGAAGCATTTTATTTTGGCAGGCACATCTGTCCCTACCTGCTTGATTATCAATTTGATAACTTTAACCAGGTTTTGGTCAGGGAACCACTTTGATCAGGGCTGGTTAAATGAACCTGGTTTGGGTGCTGCTGAACAGTGAAGAAAGTGCATTCCCTCTTATCTGCGGTTAGGGTGGAGGAAAGGATGACAAAAATATCATGCCAGGTCAAATTACAAGCTTGAGTTAAAAATCGAAACTCCTTAATATAGGTGGTGGGATCATTATAAAGGAGCCTAAACGCTATTTAATCCGAGATAAATCAGTGAGAGAGAAGGGAACATGAACCGGACCACTCTCAGCCCTGGACACTTTCACGAGTGGACAAAGGACAAGGGGGTTCTGAGGTCGCATGTGCTTGCTAACCGGCGAGGCGAGTGCAGACTCGGGGTTCCTCCTGCGAGGCAGGTAGATCAGGAGAAGACGTGGGGGGCTCCGGGGGGCCAGAATAGGGAGAGGGGTGAGCAGGAGTGGAGGGGAGACAAGGTGTTCAGGCAGTTCTGAAAAGGCAGACACCAGAGGGGGTCCAGAAGCAGGAGGAGGGGAGGAATTGTTAAGAGGACTAGGGAAGGGGAGCAGGACATACAGAGAAAGGGTCGGGTGCTCAGGGGAAAGGCAGCCTGGATGCAGAAAGTCAGACTATTTGTGAGTTTACTGGCAGAAATTGTTGGGATTCCAGAGGACATTGAAATTTAAAGCGCGGGGATTAAAGTTGTCACTTCTGGAGCTTCCTGACTCCTCCCTCTTGCCAGGCTCAGGGTGGCCACAGTGGATGTGTACTCTGCTTTCCTATCTGGGAGTGGTCAGTTAAATGGCTGTGCAGAGGAGGCTGAGCAAGGAGGGAGCTGGGAAGGGGAGGGAGAGAGAAAGACTCCAGATTCTGAGGGGTCTGGCTCTGGTGTCCGAAGTACAGTGCCTCAGCCTTTGGGAGTTGAGGGGGCCTTGCTGAGGGCGCAGATAAGGAGTCAGCGGTCAGGAGAAAGACGGAAGGGGGGGTACTGTCTGGGCCTGATTAAGAGAGTGTTTGGTTAAGAGATCTTGAGCAGGTGACAGGTGGTAGAGAGGGACAGGAGCGAAGAAAGAAAGAGACCTGAACACAAGGGACTTCTGATTGAGGTTGCGGGGAA